CCCGCTCACACAGCGCCGGCCCCCTCCCCCCGGCCATCCTCATTCCCCCGGCCGGGGCCCTGCAGCGCCTCGCACCCATCCCCCGGCCCGGCGGCTCCTCTCGCGCTTTGTGTTCGAATCCGCCGAGGGGAGAAAGTCTGGCGGGGCCAGAGCCGCGGGGACAGCGGCGGGAAGTCCCAGCCTCGGGCGGCAGCAAGGGGCAGGATTTAGGGGGCGGCAGCCCCCCACCCCACCCTCCCGAGCCGGGCGGTGGGTCCCTCCAGGAGTTTGCGGAGGAGTCCTAGCACTTCCCACGGCAAAGCGGGCGGGACAAGTTTAGCCTTCGCGCCCCCCCCCTTCCGTTGTGAATGCACAACGAGCCCCCCCCCACCGTCTCCTTTCTTCCCTACCCCCCCCATCCCCCACCTTCTGGTGCTTCTTCTCCTTCTCGATCCGGTCCATCCTCTCCAGCCGGAGCCGATCCAGCTCCAGCCGCAGCTCCTCCATTTCGGGGTTGATGTGATTGCGGCTCACCAGCACCTCCAAGATCTCCAGCACCCGCACCACCTTGGGCATGAGGCGGGCGATGGCCTCGCAGCCGTGCTGGTCAATGACCCGCTCGAACTCCTGCCCCACCAGCGAGGCGATGTCGTACACGTCCATGACCGTCAGCTCCGCCACGTTCTTCTCCAGGGCCGAGGAGGAGACACCCCCACCCCCGTCCATGGCTCGCCGGTTCCTGCGGCGCCCGGGAGTCCCTCATAGACCGCAGCCGCCACCCCCCAACGCCGGAGCCGCCCGCCCTTCCCAAGCAGCAACTCGCCAACTTCTGCTCGGGGCTGCGCTGTTAAACGGGGCTGCTGCAGGCTGCGCGCTGGCCTGGCATTTGGATGGGAACAGCTGAAGGCAGCCGAGAGCGAGAGAGCTCCCCCACCAATCCCACCCCCCTGCCTGCCTCCTCCTCTCCACCCTGCTCGGTGCCAATAACACGAGCCTGTCACCGTGCGAGGAGGAGGACACCACGCATGCCTGCTGCCTTCCAAGTTGGGATAGCAGGAGTTGGGGATGGGAAACGAGATTTTGGGAGCACGTGATGCTCCAGACTGCTTTTTTTTTTTGCACTAGGAAATACTTCCTGCGTGTCTGAGGCACGCCAGTGTCTTCCTGCTGGTTGATCTTGTGTTTACACCTCTCCACGTCAGCCTCTCAAAACACGGCAGCCTCACTGGAAATCAGTGTGGCGCATCAAACAGCATGTCTGTGTAAAGTGTAAGTCTGGATCCGGGGGGAGAAGCTGGAGAAATGTGATGTCAACAGTAAAAGTTCACTTAAAACTGTTAGCTTGATATCTCGCCGCTATTATTTCTCCTGGATAAATATTGTATAGATTTACATATTCTTTATTTAATGTGCCCCTCGCCTCAACAGTTGTGCAACCTCAGCAAGTCTGATTTCATCTGAATTACAAGGTTTGTCTGTTGCCACAATTGTTCGCTGTACAGCAAAAAAAGAAAATAGCTACATCAAGATACAGTACGTAATACAGTTTTATTATGCTGATGTAACAAATAATTATTTAGTATTAAATTATAGTGTGATCGCATGTTATTTAGGATACAAAAACAACAAAGAGATTTTTAAATCTGCGTTGAATTAAAAATATTTAAATATTTAATTAATCATATCTAGCTCATACATTTTCTCATAAGTGGATCTCAAAGCACCTTAAAAAGGAGGCAGAAAAAGTTTTGAGAATTCTTTCTTAAGTGAACAGAACATTTTTAAACATGAATTTTAAAAGTGTTTTGCAGTGGTATAACAGAGGACCTGATCCTACAAACAAGTTACTACCATCATTAGAAGTCACTTTGTAGTTAGTGGCATTACCTAGGATAGAAAACATTTGAGCCCCATCCTGTAAACATGGAAGTCAGTGTGTCTGCTCCGGTGCACAGGGTCCACTAGCACAGATCCAGTTGCAGGTTTCGAGCCCTAATATTGGAATAAATTGATTTTGCTGGCTTAACTGATCATTGTTTTTACCTTTGGGCCTGATCCTGCAAACACTACCAGGCATAATGTTCTAAGAAGTCTCATTGACATTGGTAGTAACTGTCTGTAGAATTGGACTCTGCTCTGGAAATAGAATTTTTATTTAATGTAAATAGTTTTTTATATACTAAACTATGTATATGTATTAATTGCAGTTTAATACTTTTTTTGCTTATGCTGATAAATGTATATTATTTATTATTTATACGGAACACAAAAGTGTATTAGATACTTTGCAGATAAATAAAACATCCCATTCTCTGCCCTGAAGTGATTAGTTTAGACCCTTATCCTGCAATCCAATAAATGCATTGCAAGATCAGGGCCCTAATTTTAGACAATGAATGAGAGCAACAAACAATGGGATTGGAATAAGGGGGAAAGTTACAATAAATAAATTAATAAAGATGTGACTTACTGATAATATCTTATATATTGTGATTTTGGACCTGCTCCTGCATTTCTTTCATACACACAAAATGTCCATTGATGTGAGTGGGAGCTTTGAATGCACAGAAGCATTGCAACATTGGGCTGTGTATGCAGCGAAACTGATTCACTTCAGCTGTCAGTATCACATTACATTCCATCATAAGTGGTAAAATTACTAACTTCCCCATATTGGCCAGGAGCAGGAGGCATTCATGTTCATTGAATTGTGTGGCTCTACGGGCAAAGAAAACAATCCAAATGTATTTGGGTTGAACACTCTACTTCCCTGCTTAGCATTAGTCACAAAGCATCCAGGTTATCCAGTAAAAATTTACTTTTATACTTTTTGTTAACAAACTTTTTAGGGGCAAAAATGCTCCAGTGTAGAAGAGAGAAGGGATGAGAGTGAATAACAGTAAAGTCATCACTTCATGGAAAACATGGCCTAAGGGGGCATGAAAAGCTATGGGGGTATAATGAGAATACATGAAAGGCCACACCAGGGCACCTCAGAGGAGCAAATGTGCTGTGAACTGAATATCTTGTCTGGATTAAATAAAGATGAAAAAATAATCCATGTGACCACAGAGTCAATCATGAAAAATTGCCCAGCCTTACATACGAATGCGGAGGGGAAAAAATAATAATAAACTGGATAGGATAGCAAAAACCAAGGCTAGATACAGCTGTAGGGAGATAGCTGTAAAGGGAAGTATGGTAGAACATCACTAATTCACCCTAACGATTGGACGAGACAGTGTAAATTAGAGCCTGGCCAAAGTCCATTGAAGCCAATGGGAGTTTTTTTATTGACTTCAATAGACTTTTGATCAGGCCTTTAGGGGAAAGGGGCCTGATCCTGTGAAGAGCTGGGTGTTCCCTTTCAATGGAAGTTGAAGGTGTCTGGCATACTGCAAGATTGGACCTTTAGGTCCTAATCCTGCAGGTGCGTAAGCATTGGCAGGATCAGACCATTAGTGAACAAATTAAAAAAATCAAGGCTTATCTCATCACAAAATGCATTATGTGACTTCATTTTAATTATTTGATACCTCATAAGTAGGATTGGCAACTTTGTAATGGCACAAAACCAAATACCCCTGCCCCGCCCCTTTGAGGCCCCACGCCCTGCTCGCTCCATCACTCCTCCCTCCACCGCTTGCTCTGCCCCACCCTCACTCACTTTCACCGGGCTGGGGCAGAGGGTTGGGGTGCGTGGGGGGTGAGGACTCCAGCTGGGATTTCAGGCTCTGGGTTGGGGCCAGGGATGAGGGGTTTGGGGTGCAGGAGGGAGCTCTGGGCAGGTATTGGGGAGGGGTATGGACTCGAAGGGAATTTGGGTGCTGGAGGGGACTTCAGGCTGGGGCAGAGGGTTGGGGTGTGAGAGGGAGTTTAGGATGCAGGGCCCCGGTGGCACTTACTGCGGCTCCCAAGAAGCATTTGCCAAGTCCCTGCAGTCCCTAGGCTCATGGGTGGCCAGAGAGGCTCCGTGCATTGCCCTTGCACCCGCAGGTGCTACCCTCGCAGCTCGCATTGGTTGCGGTTCCCGGCCAATGGGAGCTGTGGAGCTGACACTAGGAGCAGGGGCAGTGGGTGGAGCTTCCCTGGCTGCCCATGTGCCTAGGGGCCACAAGGACCTGGCGGCCGATTCCGGGATCTGCGTGGAGCTAAGGCAGGCAGGGAGCCTTCCTCCTGCTGCTGACTGGAGCCACCAGGGTCCCTTTTCAACTGAGCGTTCTTGTTGAAAACTGGATGCCTGGCAACCTTACTCATAAACATACTTGTAAAGATAGTATAGTATTTTTTGTACAAATTCTTAGTGATATGAGATCTTACTTCAGGGATGCCTACCTTTACTGAAAAGTGGGAAGAAAATGTTATTTTGTGACTTATAAAATGTGTGGATTAACTGTTTTGGTTTCTTGCTCTTGACTAATTCAAATTAACTATCAGTTTCAATTCATTTTGGAACCTTCATCTTAGGTACCCTGCTTTTAATTAGAAAAGCTATTTCAGCTCTTACTATAAAAGCATGTAAAATATGATTGAAAACACCTCCCCTGCTATTCTGCTAATAAGTGAAAGATCTCTAAATGTTCGGCTCCATTTATTTTGTCCATTATGAAGCATCATCCATACATTGTGTTTTGGGACTCACAATAAGCAACCTGAATGTTTAATCAAAATGTCCCATACTGCCAGTATCACACTGTTTTAGTAAGACAAGCACTGCTAACAGTTGTTTTGTTTTGGGAAAATATTTTATTTATTGATATTTTGAGTAATTAACAATAACAAATTACAATTACATTGTTTTGACACAGATAGACCCAAATCTTCATAAAAAATTAACATGTTAAGCAACATTGTATATTGACCATATCATGTTATACCATTAAGATTTTTCTCCTGTCCCCCCAAACCTACTTAAACACAACCTTCGCATGGTTCATATGTATATGTGTAATCATTCTTATTACTTTTTGTTGTTGGGGGGGGGAGATTAATTTCTTTTTTGGGGGGAGGAGGGGCAAGTCTTAAGAAAATACAAAGGAAAGCTAATGGAGGAAGGGGGAGGAGATGTAATTCAATTATCCTCTGTATATAATCATCTTGACTATCCTCAGAATATTGTCTCTCTGTCAAAGCATATCAATGATTGAATTATTTCAATTGTTTTCCTGTGCAAGGCATACTACTACTTTTATCTGTTTTTTTTTGAGAATTTGTCTGGGACTGTTCTCACTTAATTTAAGCCTTCCTTTATAAGATATTCTGTTAATAGTTTTTCCAGTGATCTAAAGTAGCAATCGTTGCCTGTGTCCACAAATTTAAGATTTTTTTTTTTTGCTATAAAGAGCAAGAATAGAAGTAACTTCCTTATTCCTTGTTTGAATCATTGTAATAGTCCAGTTCCCAAAATACGTCTTTAAATCCTGTTCAAGTTCTATCTCTGTTTGTTTTTATTTCTTTCAAGATGGTTTTCTAATTTTATTTTTTACTATCCAACAGCTGCATATCATGGGTGTGAAAGTGAGTCTGGCTGTTTTGCATTTCATTCAAATATCTGGGGCAATATTATTTATTTTATTATATAGAGATGGAGAAATATAAATTGTGTAAACTAAAAAGTACTGAATTTGCACTACTTGGTTAGTATTAGAGCCAATATTTATCATCTGCATTATCTCATTCTATTATTTTACTGTTGTTTCAGATTTAGTCTGCACTCCATGACAATAGCTGTATGTGATCTGTTATTTAAAACATAGTCATGAGATTATAACATTCTAGAAGTAATCTTGATCGCTGAAATTTGAAGACCACATACACAAGTTTCAAATACAGATAGTTTTGTTTGTTCCTTTCTTATCTGAAAATGTATTTAATAAATAAAAGATAAACAATCTGTATAAACTCATATTGTGCATACTTTTCTTTTTGTAATATATCAGCTACATCTGTTTGTTGGAAGGGTTGTCCATCCCTAAATAAATCCTTCCATT